TGATCCAGCAGTTTTTTATTCAGCATCTGGTTTTCTGTTGTAGTGTCCATCTCATCCCTTCTCTGCTCACTGTCTTCATAGTCTGCCAGACCTTGGTACACGGTCTCAATGGGAACTCCTGAACATGCAGACCGGCACTATGAGGTCCAGAATGCTGGTCTTTGACACCACACACCAAACAGTAGTGACCTCACCAGTCAGAATCCTCCTGCTTTCCTTCCAACGGCTTTTAGAAAATGATCTCCAGTTACGTCCATCCGAGGACCAATGAGACCTTTCCTCACGGTGTCCCCCCTGGACCGGGAGACATTTACAAACCAGAAGCACAAATAAACATATTCTTCACCAAACGCCCAAGTGTAAGAACTAGTCTGCAGATGGAGATAAACCAATGGTAGAGATCCTGGAGATCAATGGTTTAGTTACGCCTGGATTACAGGTAGAAAACGGAAATAGATCATCAGCTGAACAAACCTTCTGATGGACCTGGGAGACCCTGGTCTTTCCACTCATCTCCAACTCCATTCCAGGATTTGGGTCTATCTGTTGGACAAGCTCAGGCCTCCTGATTCTCAGGAAAGGTCCTGGAATCTACAAACCCCAGTCTGTGGACATGTGCTGCTCCCAGAGAAGCCACCATCCAGACCGAAGGCTGAGCCAGTCAGCTGGTGGTTATCAGCAGCTCAAAGGTTCAGTCTTATCAGAGGGCAGGGCCAGGGATCTGCCCCTGCAGGTCCAGGTCCAGGTCCAGGTCCAGGTCTAGGGTTTGGCATTCAAATAGAACCGTCTACACAGTAACTGAACTGATCTGTTTCTGAAGGGCTGCTGGAAGGTTCCTCGGCTGCTGTTTTCCTCTCCCTTCCTGATATCATCTCACCTCTCCGGGTCTCAGGGACAGGGTTCAGGGTCAGTCTCACTCGGTTAGACTCACCTGGTCTAGTTTACCTGCTCAGTCTCAGCTGGGTTCAGTGTCAGTGTAGGAAAGAAAAATATTCCCCCAGAAGGATCTGATTTAATGGGGCTCCAACAGCAGGGTCATCGCACTTCCTCTCCACTTAAAGAAGCATAAATAAAACACAGGAACCTTTAGAGGAACTGGTTCATATCTTAAAGTCCTCCTGAAATGAATTAATCACACCACACGGTTTGTCTAACTTCCAACATTTTATTGCTTCAGAGATTGAATCTTTGAATCCAGACTGAGAGATAAATCCCCAGCATGCTGGATTAACCGATGGATTAACGGTCTCTGGATGGACGGCGTCTATCCGAACCAGTGGTTCCCCATACAGTCTCTGTTCCAGAGGACCCCGCAGAGCCAGCACCACTCTGCTCTGCACACAGAACACTGCATATGCATGCAGCCACCTGCAGGGGGAGACAGAAACAGCCTCAGCTGGGCGCTCGCTGTGTCGGCCTGATGAAGCCCAGCGGTGGTTCCTACCGTTCCTCTCCACAGGAACCAAACAGCTCGGACACTTTTTGGTCGATGTTCGGATGAGGAGCAGCGACTCCTGCTCCCACCTCCCTCTGCGAGACGCCTCCTCCTCCACCATGAAACCCTGAGGAATGGGGGCCACGTCAGTCTCTGTACATAATCACCACCACCATGATCATCACCATGATCATCATCATCATCCTCACCATCATCATCATCATCCTCATCATCATCATCATCACT